CTCTAGGAGGGACACAGGGACCCCGAGAGGGGACACGGACACAGGGATGGGACACGGACCCCGGGAGGGGACACGGACCCCACGAGCCGTCGGGGTAGAGCGGTGAGGGCGGCGGCTACACCTGAGCGGGCAGTGGTGAGATGCTGCTGGCTGAGGGCAGCGGAGGGCACCTGAAGAGCCAGCAGAAGCGATCCTGGCCCGTGTCCCCGCCCTGCCGCGGCCAGAGCGCCGGTTTGGCGCTGTTTAGACTAAATGTTACGACCACAGAGCTGTGCGCGTCAACTACAGTAAGCACGGTAGGCGCTCAGGTAAATACGGTAGTTCCCCTGCCCCGCTCCTCGCCCTCGCGCTGCCGCGGGCGACAGCGCCCCCTGCCGGCGCTGCACATCGGCGCCGCCGGAAAAGGAGACCGGTGGGGACGCGAGGGCTGCGCGCGGGGAGTTCCGGGGCCGCTCGGGTTTCCCGCGCGGAGCGGGGGAGCGGGGAAGAGTTTGAGCGGCGGCCCGTTGGCTGAGGGCGCTTCCGGGCGGCGCAGGTGAGTCCCGGGGCGGCCCCGGCAGGGCCCGGGCAGGGCCGGGCCGGGCACCGCGCCGGGAGCGGGGGAGCGGCCCCGCACGGGGAGCTCGCGCGGGGCCACGCCGGGGGTTTCGCTCGACTAGAGCCCCCAAGTGTCCCTGGCCCTCCCGGGGCCGTGCCGGGGTCGGAGGGGGCTGGGAGGGAGCAGGGAGCCCGTGTGTGCAGAATCACAGTTACAGTAGTTAATTACACACCTTGCAGCCCCAGAGCGGCCTGGCAGGTCACAGTGAGTTAGTGACAGATGTCAGGTGAGCCAAAGGAATCCCCGCAGTCCTGTGAGTGGGGGCTTTCAGACAGCTCAGATTTAGACAAATTGGTTGAGTTCCCCGTCGCCGATTTTTAAATGTTGTGGAAAACGGGAAGTAAAGTCAGAATCACAGAATCGGCAAGGTTGGAAAAGACCTCTGAGGCCATCGAGTCCAATCTGTGACCCAGCACCACCTTGTCACCCAGACCATGGCACTGATGCCACCTCCAGTCTGTCCTTAAACACCTCCAGGGACGGGGACTCCACCCCCTCCCTGGGCAGCCCATTCCAATGTCTCATCACTCTCTCTGAAAAGTCCAACCTAAACCTCCCCTGGTGCAGCTCAAGACTGTGCCCTCTTGCCCTTGAGGGGTTGGAAATCCACACCTGGAAAGATAACGTGTTTTAGGAAAATACAGTTTGTTGACCTTATGTCAGTAGCAGGAATAAAATAAAATGAGCAGGTAAAGCCTTGTAAATAATTAGATGCTGCAAATACAACAAATGTAGAGATTAAAAGCTGAACAACATGTCCTTGGCAAAGAGATTCCTCCAGTATTCCTTCTTGAGAGAGGTTTGCAGCGTCTGGCTGAGTCAGCTGATGACACACTTAGTGTCACATACTTGGAATTTTCTGAGGAATTGTACTCTAATGTGACCTGACAGTTTAATTAAATAAAGGTGGTGTGGCAAGGCGAAGTTAAATATTACCTTAAGAGCAAATCCCACATCATTTGTTAATTGTGAGCCATAAATGAGTGGGATTCAGCTCCTTCACTTCCCAGATCCATGTTCAGGTGGAGCCTGAGCCCAGAGCAGGTTTGTCACCTCTGCTGACACAGGTGGGCAGTGAGAGATATTCATGCTGTGCCTGGGTGGTTCCAAGTGGCAGAAGGATCTTGGTGCCACATAAAGTCTCCAGCCCACAACAGCTTCCACCACAGACAGAGGGGACTGGCAGGGTGGACGTGCACCAGTGACACAGTTGGAAGTTCACTGTTGTGTGTTTTTCTTTTTCTAGAGAAAATGGAGCTACAGTGATCATATGTGTGCATGTGGTTGTTAGGTCAGGCTGCCAGAGCATCTCCAGTTACAGGAGCTCTCCAGTGAGATAGGAAAATACTGGAGAGCTCAGAGGAGGCCACAAAAATGCTCCAGTTCTGGAAAACAAACCCTTAATGAGCTCAGTTTATTCAGGCACATCCAAGAGAAGGGAGTTCAGGAGTGACTCAGCCACTCTGGAAATCCATGCCTATGGGAAAGTTATCCCAGAGCTGGGTCCTGTCAGCCTTTCCAACAATGGGATCCAGTAACTGAGAGGCAAAGCTGCACAAATTCTTTTAAATGTGACCCAATTTCCCAGCAGTGCTGGTGGTTCATTACAGGAATAGTTCAGGGGGAGGTTAAAGGCCTGTCGGTGTCTGGGGCTCTTCAGCTCGCCCATGACAGTGTTGAGGATGTTTAAAGCAGAACCTTGGGCAAGTCCCTGGGGCCAGGCTGGGCCAGGGCTCTGGGGAACTCGGGGGGATCCTCACTGAGGCACCTCCTGGGCTCTGCTCGGGCTGCTGGGCTGCAGGAATAGCAGGGGGGTATTTTTGATGTTGCTGAAGGGCTGGTGGTCTAAAGACAGTTTTAAGCAATCTCAGGCTTTTGGATGAAGCTCTTCAGGGGGGAATTCCACAGGCTGTTCTTCCAGAGGAAAGTGAGATTAAGAAGTGTTTCTTCTCCACTGTTGTTTAAATCAGAGGTTGGGCACAGCAGAGAGCTGTGCTACCCCAGTGCAGGGAATCCCCTCCCACATTTATTCTCTTTTCCCCATGTGTTTGCAGTTGATCCAGGTGGGAGGTCAGGAAGGGATTCCCAGCAATGGATGCTTTTTAAGTCACATACAAGTGTTTCATGCTTAGCAAAAGCAGAGTTTTCCTGATGAGACATTCTGCTGTTATTGTTTACCTCATCAGGTTCTTGTAAAGGGATTTTGGGAGTTTGTCTCAAACTTAGAATGGTTTGAGTGGGAAGGTCCTTTAAAGCCCATCTGTTCTAACCCTCTGCAGTGAGCAAGGACATCTCCAGCTGGATCAGGCTCCATGTACTTCAGTAGGACAAGGGGACTTTGAGGACAGGAGGATTTATAAAAGGTGTTGAATGACAGGGTCAGGTAGAGGATCCACTGACTCACTCTGAAATTATTACTTTTTGGTTAAAATAAATCAATAAATCTCCATGTGCTCCCATGGGCAGTGAAACTGCCTGTTACACAGCACTGTGCACTTTGGTGCTCTCTGAGGGCTTGCTGCCTTCCTGGTTTTACATGGAAGCAGGCACCTGCCTGTGGCTGGGGGCAGCCTTTTGGCACAGCCATCACTGATAGCCAGGACTTCTGATATCATGATTTTCCTCATGGTATCTGCAAGCAATAGAGCAGGAATAATCAAATTTTAGCATGTGGAGCAGAGCCAGCAAAATGCATCTTCTGGAATGTAAATGCTCCCTCAGAAAAACTCTGTCTGGAGTTTTTAAGGCAGAAGTGCTCTCTGGGAGAAATCCTGACACTCTCCTGCACAGTTTTGGGGTGGTGACAGTTCAGCAGTTACAGGAAACTTCTCATCTTTCTTTGTGGTGTTGAACATGCTGTTCATCTGAAACCACATCAGATCAGTGCCTGGGGCACATGCAAAGGGTCAGGGCTCAACTGAACACTACAAATTGCTCCTTTCCATGGCAAACACGAATTGGCAGAGCTGGAACAAGGGTAATTCCTGTTGTTCTCCAAAGGCAGGTTGGAGAGAGGTGAGGGCCAGCAGGGAGTGGGCCCTGTGTTGTGAGTTCTCAGCCCCGTGGTGGGATGGCTGGGGTCCTCATGCACAGGGAGATCCCAGTTCACAGAGGGTCAGGTCTGTGCACTCAGACAACCAAAGTAGTTGCTCCTGTGAATAAATAATTTATCCAAACATGCACTAAATAACTTGCTGATGTGTGATATAGCCTGGGAGGAGAGGGAATGAAGGGGCACAGCCACCTCTGGGCTAATGACAGAGACATTTTGTTGGAATTGAGGGTGTCCTTCTGAACCAAGTTTTAATAATTTGATTGAAAAGCTAATTACTGAGTTTGTATGCATAATATGCCTCTAGGTAAAAATTTTTTTGTAGCTCTCTGAGGATTCATGGTGCTCTGGCAGCCTCCTCAGCAGCTCCCTTGGTAACCAGGGACACTGGCTGGCCACAGAGGAACTGAGCAGTGTGTGAGGAACAGAAATACATGAACAGAAACAGGGCATGTGCTGGGGGCTGAACATCCTGCTGGTCCACATTTTCACCTCTTAATTGAATGAATGTGTAATCAATTGATAGAGTGTTGGAGGAACTATGGTAGATGTCAGTGATAAAATCTGAAAAAATCTTGCAGAAAAATGAAAGAGGGGAGTCTGTATATGTGGGATGTCAGAACTCTGGAAGGCTGTTTTCCCAGAGGATAAAAGTCTTCATTCTTTTGGAATCCATGTGGAGGTTTAGTTGCACTGTGACCAAATGGCTTAACTTGGGCCTGGAAGGCGAGAGTCTTGTCCAGGTGTTTTAGCTCAGGAGTAGGGAGTCCTTTCCCAGCTGTTCTCAGTGCCTGCTGGGTGATTCAGGGCAAATAGTGCTTGGTGGACTGCAGGTCAAAATCAAGCAATAAACCCTGCTTCTGTCATTTACAGCTTATTTAGTCTCAGCGTTGCCACTCGGGCTGTTGCTCTGGGCACAGCCCATGGTGCTGGCTCTAAGGAGGGATAGGCCTGTTTGAGGGTTGGGGCAATTGCTACTGCCAAAGACATTTCTATAGCAGAGAAAACTCGTGTTGCT